TCCAGTGAAGAGTAGAGGTGCCATAGGTACAATCAGAGAACACTGTCTGAACATCAGAGGTCCAGTGAAGAGTAGAGGTGCCATAGGGACAATCAGAGAACACTGTCTGAACATCAGAGGTCCAGTGAAGAGTAGAGGTGCCATAGGTACAATCACAGAACACTGAACATCAGAGGTCCACAGCTCTTCAACACCCTTCCAGCGAACATTAGAAATATTGCTGGAACAAAGGTGGATGTATTCAAGAGGCTCTTAGATAAGTTCTTGTAAGAAGTGCCGGACCAACCGGGCTGTGGTGGGTATGTGGGCCTGCGGGCCGCTCCAAGCAACAGCCTGGTGGACCAAACTCTCACAAGTCAAGCCTGGCCTCGGGCCGGGCTTGGGGAGTAGAACTCCCAGAACCCCATCAACCAGGAAAGACGTGTGTGGTGTGGGGTCCACCAGTGTGGTGTGGGGCCCACCAGTGTGGTGTGGGGCCCACCAGTGTGGTGTGGGGCCCACCAGTGGGGTGTGGGGCCCACCAGTGGGGTGTGGGGCCCACCAGTGGGGTGTGGGGCCCACCAGTGGGGTGTGGGGCCCACCAGTGGGGTGTGGGGCCCACCAGTGGGGTGTGGGGCCCACCAGTGGGGTGTGGGGCCCACCAGTGGGGTGTGGGGCCCACCAGTGGGGTGTGGGGCCCACCAGTGTGGTGAGGGGCCCGGGCCCACCCCGGCAGCGTGGGCCCCAACGTCAGTAGAGCCCTTGGGACAAGAGACCTTTCAACACACTCCAGCGAGCGCTCTTGGGGCTGTCTTTAATATAATGGCCTCGTCCTCCCCCGGTCACGACACAATATGAGGTCAAGATTTTCCTGAATATCGTAAAAGCTGCTGACGACGTCAGAGTTGCTGAGACATCTTCATGATTCTTCCAGCTCCCGACCTGGCGTCTCCTCCCCGCCTGAGACATCCTTGTCGCTGACGAAGTGAGAGCTGGTGTTGACTGGGGCAGACGGTGGTCTAGTGCCCACTCCACCTGGCGCCAGGCTTTACGCGGGACAACTTAGATCTAAATGGCTCTTGCTTGGAGTAGCCCGCACGCCCCAAATGTCCATTACTACCCCGGTCGGTTCCACACTCGTCTAATTGTTTCTTGAAGACTTCCACCTTTGTTCCGGCAACTTTTCTTATATTTGTTGGGAGGATATTACAAAACTGTGGGCCTCTGATGTTGATACTCGTGCCTGAGTGTGGCTCCTCCACCACCAGCACTGGCTCTATGTTGCATGTCCTACCATATCTTTCCCTCCAGTAAGTTACTATTTGGGTGGGCATATTTGCGACCTGCCCTTCCAGTATCTTCCATGTACAGTACAGTGTTCGCCTAGCAGTAAATAGGTACCTGGGAGTTAGACAGCTGCTACGGGCTGCTTCCTGGGGGTGTGTAACAAAAAGGAGGCCTGGTCGAGGACCGGGCCGCGGGGACGCTAAGCCCCGAAATCATCTCAAGATAACCTCAGTGTTATGCTCACTACAGAGCCTGTCCTCAGTGCAAATCCATTACCACGAGCAACAAACCGCACTGTCAAACCACCAAGACAGTTACCTAGATATATGTGATGGTCTGAATGCATACTACGGTTCCAGTGATAGTCTGCTTTATTATATTATAAATAGTTGGTTTAAAATAGAAAAACTGTATGCTGAAAGCGTTTTCATTAAAACGGTCTGAAGAAATTGGTGTTCTTTAAACAAAATTCAAGGGTACACAAATAGTTTTCGAGTGCCATGATTCACATTTTTGTCAATATTATACAGTATTAACGTAACCAAAACATAATGAAACCTAACCTAACCAAATCATAACCTAACTATGGATAGATATTAGATAATAACACTAATTACGTAGTTGTTGTGAATCCTGAGTGGATCTCCTTCCTGATGGCAGGTGATGGTCTATAACCTGGTTGATGGGGTTCTGGGAGTTCTTCTACTCCCCAAGCCCGGCCCGAGGCCAGGCTTGACTTGTGAGAGTTTGGTCCACCAGGCTGTTGCTTGGAGCGGCCCGCAGGCCCACATATACCTGGTTGATGGGGTTCTGAGAGTTCTTCTACTCCCCAAGCCCGGCCCGAGGCCAGGCTTGACTTGTGAGAGTTTGGTCCACCAGGCTGTTGCTTGGAGCGGCCCGCAGGCCCACATATACCTGGTTGATGGGGTTCTGGGAGTTCTTCTACTCCCCAAGCCCGGCCAGAGGCCAGGCTTGACTTGTGAGAGTTTGGTCCACCAGACTGTTGCTTGGAGCGGCCCGCAGGCCCACATATACCTGGTTGATGGGGGTTCTGGGAGTTCTTCTACTCCCCAAGCCCGGCCCGAGGCCAGGCTTGACTTGTGAGAGTTTGGTCCACCAGACTGTTGCTTGGAGCGGCCCGCAGGCCCACATACCCACCACAGCCCGGTTGGTCTGATACTCCTTGGAGGAAACTATCTAGTTTCCTCTTGAAGATGTCCACGGTTGTTCCGGCAATATTTCTTATGCTCGCTGGGAGGACGTTGAACAACCGCGGACCTCTGATGTTTATACAGTGATCTAAATCATATACTGATGTTTATACAGTGATCTGATTGTGCCTATGGCACCTCTGCTCTTCACTGGTTCTATTCTGCTTTTTCTTCCATATCGTTCACTCCAGTACGTTGTTATTTTACTGTGTAGATTTGGTACTTGGCCCTCCAGTATCTTCCATGTGTATATTATTTGGTATCTCTCTCGTCTCCTTTCTAGTGAGTACATTTGGAGAGCTTTGAGACGATCCCAATAATTTAGGTGTTTTATCTCGTCTATGCGTGCCGTATATGTTCTCTGTATTCCCTCTATTTCAGCAATCTCTCCTGCTCTGAAGGGGAAAGTGAGTACTGAGCAGTACTCAAGACGGGACAACACAAGTGACTTGCAGAGTACAACCATTGTGATGGGATCCCTGGACTTGAAAGTTCTCGTAATCCATCCTATCATTTTGCTGACTGACGCAATATTTGCTTGGTTATGTTCCCTAAACGTTAGGTCGTCGGACATCATTATTCCCAAATCCTTTACATGTTGCTTTCCTACTATGGGCAGATTTTGATTGTGTTTTGTACCCTGTATTATGTTTAAGGTCCTCATTTTTACCGTTCCTGAGTACCTGGAAATTATCACTGTTAAACATCATTTCATTTTTATTTCACACATCATTGACCTCATTTTGTGTGCTATCACGCCATGGTCACATTTATCGAGTGCCTTTGCGAAGTCCCCGTATACCACATCAGCATTCTGTTTTTCTTCTGCCTCAGTGATTTTGTCGTAGTGATCAAGTAGCTGTGAGAGGCATGATCTTCCCGCTCGAAATGCATGTTGGCCTGGGTTGTGAAGGTCTTTGGTTGGTGCATTGGAGGGAGGGTTGAGGGAGGGCCGGGTGTTACACAGGGGAGGGCCGGGTGTTACACAGGGGAGGGCCGGGTGTTACACAGGGGAGGGCTGGGTGTTACACAGGGGAGGGCCGGGTGTTACACAGGGGAGGGCCGGGTGTTACACAGGGGAGGGCCGGGTGTTACACAGGGGAGGGCCGGGTGTTACACAGGGTAAGGCCAGGTGTTACACAGGGGAGGGCCGGGTGTTACACAGGGTAAGGCCAGGTGTTACACAGGGGAGGGCTGGGTGTTACACAGGGGAGGGCCAGGTGTTACACAGGGTAAGGCCAGGTGTTACACAGGGGAGGGCCGGGTGTTACACAGGGTAAGGCCGGGTGTTACACAGGGGAGGGCCGGGTGTTACACAGGGTAAGGCCGGGTGTTACACAGAGGAGGGCTGAGGGAGGGCCGGGTGTTACACAGGGAAGGGCCGGGTGTTACACAGAGGAGGGCTGAGGGAGGGCCGGGTGTTACACAGGGTAAGGCCGGGTGTTACACAGGGGAGGGCTGGGTGTTACACAGGGGAGGGCCGGGTGTTACACAGGGGAGGGGTGCCTGCACCCAACAGCCGGATAGCGTGGTATCACTGCAGTTGTCAACACTGTAATGCTCATCACAGTCTTCAACAGTTGCCCTGTACAGTATTTGTAATAAAATCATTACATTTCTCTGGTAATGACAACAGTAAATTATCCATCTGTCAGGACTAAAAATGTTGGTCTGATATTTCATCGATATATATTTGTCATGTTTTGTGTTGAAGGTTTACCAAGAGACGCGGAGGGTCTTACACGAGGTCTTAATCTGGCTACGAGGCCAGACATTGGAGTTGTTTACCAAGAGACGCGGAGGGTCTTACACGAGGTCTTAATCTGGCTACGAGGCCAGACATTGGAATTGTTTACCAAGAGACGCGGAGGGTCTTACACGAGGTCTTAATCTGGCTACGAGGCCAGACATTGGAATTGTTTACCAAGAGACGCGGAGGGTCTTACACGAGGTCTTAATCTGGCTACGAGGCCAGATATTGGAATTGTTTACCAAGAGACGCGGAGGGTCTTACACGAGGTCTTAATCTGGCTACGAGGCCAGACATTGGAGTTGTTTACCAAGAGACGCGGAGGGTCTTACACGAGGTCTTAATCTGGCTACGAGGCCAGACATTGGAGTTGTTTACCAAGAGACGCGGAGGGTCTTACACGAGGTCTTAATCTGGCTACGAGGCCAGACATTGGAGTTGTTTCTTTATAAACTATAACATTAGTGTGTGATACGAAGTTAATGTTGCTTGAAGGATGTATTTTACTATTTACTGTTTGTGCCTGCAGAATCGAGCTATTAGCTCGGGAGCCGGTCGGCCGAGCGGACAGCACACTGGACTTGTGATCCTGTGGTCCCGGGTTCGATCCCAGGCGCCGGCGAGAAACAATGGACAATTTCTTTCACCCTGATGCCCCTGCTATTTAGCAGTAAATAGGTACCTGGGAGTTTGACAGCTGTTATTGGCTGCTTCTGTGTGTGTTGCGGGCGACCAGAGTGTCGTGTACTAACAGGGATCTCTATTCTCCACAGCCTGCAAGCTTCGTGGCGCTACGGGAATGGTGCTCTGACGACGAGACATTAACGGAGGTGTCGCTGGCGCCGGTGTCACCGTCCGTGCCTGCGAGCGTGTGCCCGCCCCAGCAGGAGCCGGCGCAACACAAGCTGCCCTCGCCCGAGCAGCGGGTCCTGGCTCTCTCCCTCAAGTACCCGCCACAACTCGTCCCCATCGACGTCTCCGGCACCGGCTTCAAGCGCCTCGAGAAGTTCCGCCAGTCGCTAGTTCACGTGAGTAACCCGCCTGCTTCTTCCCCCTTAATGGCGGCTCTTGCAGTGTAGTGGCTGCTGGGGTGGGTCTTGGGCCTTGTAGTCCAGGGGCCAGATTCACGAAAGAACTTACGCAAGCACTTACGAACGTGTACATCTTTCCTCAATCTTTGACGGCTTTGATTACATTTATTAAACAGTTTACAAGCATGAAAACTTCCCAATCAACTGTTGTTATTGTTATAAACAGCCTCTTGGTGCTTCGGAGCTTATTAACTGTTTAATAATTGGAAACAAAGCCGCCAAAGATTGAGAAAAGATGTACAGGTTCGTAAGTGCTTGCGTAAGTGCCTTCGTGAATCTGGCCCCAGGGCTACACCCACCGGGGCCAGGTGGGTGTAGCCCTGGTGGCAGCATGGTGAACTACCTGACCATGGCCTGGTGGCAGCATGGTGAACTACCCGACCATGGGCAGGTGGGTGTAGCCCTGGTGGCAGCATGGTCAACTACCTGACCATGGCCAGGTGGGTGTAGCCCTGGTGGCAGCATGGTGAACTACCCGACCATGGCCAGGTGGGTGTAGCCCTGGTGGCAGCATGGTCAACTACCTGACCATGGCCAGGTGGGTGTAGCCCTGGTGGCAGCATGGTCAACTACCTGACCATGGCCAGGTGGGTGTAGCCCTGGTGGCAGCATGGTCAACTACCTGACCATGGCCAGGTGGGTGTAGCCCTGGTGGCAGCATGGTGAACTACCTGACCATGGCCAGGTGGGTGTAGCCCTGGTGGCAGCATGGTGAACTACCTGACCATGGCCAGGTGGGTGTAGCCCTGGTGGCAGCATGGTCAACTACCTGACCATGGCCAGGTGGGTGTAGCCCTGGTGGCAGCATGGTCAACTACCTGACCATGGCCAGGTGGGTGTAGCCCTGGTGGCAGCATGGTCAACTACCTGACCATGGCCAGGTGGGTGTAGCCCTGGTGGCAGCATGGTCAACTACCTGACCATGGCCAGGTGGGTGTAGCCCTGGTGGCAGCATGGTCAACTACCTGACCATGATCCCGGCCATGGGACCGGGAACATGGGAACAACAGGCCCACTTGTTGTTACACTAGCAGCCACCACAGGTGGTGGTGCAGGCCCACCTGTCATGGCTGGCACCGGAGGCATGAAGGAGATGGAGTGTGTGGTATCAGCGTTACCAGAAGTGGTGAGCCAGGCAGCCACATGGCTGGGCCTCCTCCCTCGCTCTCCCTTCATTCGTAACTTTGGTTTTTATTTATACAGTAGTCTAGGTTACAGCAGAGTCGGTTTGTTGGCAGAGTAGTCAAGTGTCATAGTAGTCGAGGCGAGCAAGGCAGAGAGCTCGGGTGCTGGGTGAGTGTGTAGAGCGCGGCGCTCTGAATGGGGGCGGTGTGGAAGAGAGCTCCAGTGCGGGCTGAGAGTGTGAACGCTCGATGCGGCCGGTAGGTAGCCTGGCTGTCTCCTCTGTGTCGAGGCTGAAGCATCTTGTGAAGGAGGGAACACGTCGAGTGTTATATTGTTGTTGGTGAGGGTTGAGGAGGTGTGGTATCTCTCAAGCCTCTGTACCAGACCACTGTTGGAGCTACACTCATCATGATTGGCTCTCGACCCATTGTTTGTATTACCTGTTCTGTACCTGTACTGACCATCCTCTACCTGAAGGTTGGGGAAGACGTGTTAAGTCTACACTTAGCAAGAGGTATAAACTATAATTAATAGACTAAGTAGAACTAACAGACGCGTCTCAATATCTGCACATAAGCTAATGAGAATATAGAACAATTATATTACTGACATAATATACTTGCTACATAATTATATATCGTGCCACATGATAGTATATCCTATATTATTCGTAGGGAAATTATGTAACATGACACATATCATCTGCAGGAGTTTGATTACCTATTGCAATATAAAATTATTCAATTTCATTTTTGTTTGGTCGTTATTTTTTGTTAAAAGAAGTAAGGAACTAAG